TGGTTAAAAAAAAAAAAAAAAAAAAAAAAAAAGAAGAGTGTACAGAAAGCGAGAGACAAGGAGTGAAGACAAAAGCAATGTCAAAGTAAAGGGGAAAAAAGAGGCGAAGGGAGAGTATCCAGAAATCCGGTAGTCTCCATTTTCCTAGAGAAACAGAAAGGTAGAAAGGAGAAAGGTAAAGGGAAGGTGACTTTGAAAAATGTCAGGTTGTAGGGAAACGGGCCGCATTTAAAATCCTTCGGCTGTCTGCCTGTTAGGGTGTAGGGGGGGGGGGAATCCTCCCCAGAGGAAGGTAGGTTAAATGAGTACTCGTAAAGGGTAGAACGAGGGGGGTAGCCCAGAGAGGTCAGAGTTTCAATTAACCAGAAACAGGCGGGTGGGTTCGCGAGGGGCAGAGTGAAACTTTCGAATTCCCATAAGCTGCAGGCGTCTAGTCAAGGCGCGGGTGTTATCTAGTAAGCAGGTGTAGGCAGGGATGCATATATCTATTACAGGAGTAGAAGTAGGTATGGTGGAGCGGGGTGGGGGGACTGTGGGAGTGGCGACACGTGTTTCTCATGTGTGTCAATCCGCAGGCGTACCAACATGAAAGCGTATCGGTGCGATATCGGCATGTATAAGTTCCCATAGAGGCGGGCTGCATACATATCGTTGCTTTGGGTAGCGCCGAGTGGCTTAAACGGCTCGACTCCTACATGGATACACACGTGCCAGAAATCTGAAGTTCAGGACGTAGCTAAAACCACCGTCATGACCCATAACCCATATAGCCCATAGCTCATAGCTCAAGGCTCATAGCGCACGGCACAAGTAAAGTCCTACTCAGACCGTTCTTCCACTTGACTGGATTCCCTGGAGGCCGGAGAGGCCGTAGAGCCAGCACTAGGTGTAGCTGCCAGTGGAGCCCTGGGTGGGTCAACCCTGCTAACCTGGTCGGCTCTTAGATCTTCATGAGTAACCGCGAGCAGTTACTTTACAACGTTGATGTAGACATTTTTAATGACTCTTTACCGTGATAGGCGTCGGTCTGTTGGTTCTCCCGTTGAGGCTTACACTCTGCGCTATCCCTGAGCCTGGCTCCGTTAGAAGGATGCGAGGGAAAGATAATTTTAAGTTTCAAGAAAATTATTATTATACTATATTCCTCTACCATAGCTAATCTATCCGTCCTTCCGGAACTCCTGGCAACTCTCTTAGCGTGCGGAGTCTCGTTCTCGAGCCTTCAAAATCCTCCGATTTCGTAGACTTATCGGAGACGCGGTCGACCGATAGGTCGACTCGATTTAATTGCAAGGAGAGCTAGGGAGAGCTAGGGGAATTCGGCGCATGTCAGAGAAATGCATTTTTTACTTTTCATCTTTCTTTCTTATCCGATGCCTGATCCTGCCCTACAGTCCAGGTGTGTCTGCCTCCGTATAGTACTTCAGGAATTCTTTCACACTGTATTGGGGTCCTGCGTACCGTCAGTCATAGCTTTCGTAACAATCTGGGCAAGTATGGGCCATATCTTGCTGCTGTCCGGATCCAATTCTCTCGGTATGGTAATTACCATTGGATCTGGCCAGCAACAAGACTTGGCCCATACTTGCCCAGCTACGAGACTTATCCCATGCTTACATTAGATAACTTGAGGCTCTTGCAATCTCGTGGCGCAGTGGCTTCAATATTGTTGGCTTGCACTTTCGCACGCTTTGCTTTCAAAAAAATGCACTTTCCTTTATCTTTACGCACTTGTAATGGTACGATCGACTAAATCAAGACTAATTATACTAATACTAACGCCTTTTTTATTTCAGACATGTCATACAAGCCCCGTCATCCCGTTATCGAGGGTAAGTCTCAATGGCACGTATTACATATATAGGATGCACAAGACACCAAAATATATAGCCAGCTGCACATCCTGCAATCGATCGTTCATTGCTCACAAAGAATTCTGAATCATGATCGCTCGAGGGAAAACTTTCTTCTGCGAATGTACTTACCTCCCTTCTCCCTCTGTAGCCAGCCACTCGCCCTCCCTAGTCGACCAC